TCTATTGGCGTATTGGCGCCGCAAACCTTTGGCGAAAACACTCCTTTCGCTACTTCGAAATAAAAAAAACGTCAAAATATCACCGGCGCTAACAATTAGCCGTTCTACAGTCGGGTATTCTGCAGTTTTGCTGTACCCACCTTGCGTCCCGGCTCATCAGCAGAGCCCTGTGTGAACGACAGGACACGCATGAGAAAACAAGCCAAAAACGTGACACATGCAATGCACGGAGAATACACGACGGAGAATGATGGGTGGCGGAGAAAGAATCACCCGCCTGATCTACGCGAGTTTCTCCGGCCTATGCACCGCCGCCAAGTATGGAAGGACATGCAGCAAAGCGACAGTACAGGGAACCTACAGGTGCACTCAAAGTGGTCAAGTCTAAGCCTGTATATCCGAGGTCAAATGACTCTTGTACTAGGAGTAGTACTTGATGATGCCGCAGTGTCCTGGATGTTTCATAGTATGTAAAAGAGATTGAGAGAGATTTATATGAGTGAGATTTATATTGGAATTTCACTGCACAGCCGAACACACTTTTTAAAAGGTGGTCACGCATAAGATGAAATTTGGGAAAGTGCACAGGAAAATTCAGACAGGAATTCCTGTCTGTTGCTACACAAGGTAAGTCAAATGACCAAGCAATCACATGACCAAGCAATCACATGACCAATATGTGAAATGACTCTATAGTGAACAAGTACAGGAAGTAAATAACGTTAAAACAAAGTTCTGATAACAAGGGATTACTCATATATTCGCTCAGCGGCAAGCAAGGCCGGCTCAGCAAATGGACATGGGTTGTAAATATACAAGAGCTGCTGGTTCTACCGGTGTGTCCTGATTCTCCTGGTGATCATGTGAAGGAAGTGTAAGTTAAACAAAGTGTGTTGGTATAGCTGCAAGGACGACCAATTGCACTGTAAGCATTTCCTATATGTCGACATGTATGTGTAAATTGTTATACGATGATCGCAAGGCACACAATGAAAGGGAAAGAGAGGATCTTACACATACATGTCGACATATGGGAAACGCTTCCAGTGCAATTAGTCGTCGTTGTAGCGATACTAAAACTGCTGTCTCCAAGACCTTGTTTAAAGTGTGTTGGCTCCTGCAATTTCTGCATGATTTAGTAGTACATGTGCAGTCCCCCCCCCCCCCCCCCCCCCATGTAGCACTGACTCTAGGTGGCTCATCTAGCAAAACATTATTATGAGTAGTTGACTGAAGGCACTTAATGGCACAGGGACATATCGATCAATTTTAGTACGTCCCTGTGCCTAATGTTAGCATGAGTAGAGGTCTGACATCTACCTACACGACTCTGTCTAGACACCAGCGCAGTGGAAGAAAGAGTGTGGAGGCCCATAGGGGACACAGTCAGAGCGATTGCCTCAGTTGGCTTTCCAACTGTGCTCTCAGCAGACAAATTAATGAGGTGGATTGTCATACTGCGCACTTAGCACCCCCCCCTCCATCACTTTTCATCAGTGTCTGGTCCTCAGGGGGCTATTCCCCCCCCCCCCCCCCCCCCCCCCCGTACTTCATAAGTGGGCGCTCAGGTCTGGAATGTGAGAATTCATCTCAGATCTTACACTGCTACTAGGGAGGGAGTCCACAATGACGACAACAGCAACACGTCAACAACACGTCAGAGCAGGTCCACAACACTATCGAGCGCCGGATATCCTAACTGACCCTCTTCACCAGCACCATTGTCATCGTCACTGTACAAATTGAATTGTGTCAGAATCAGATCTGATCCAGTTAGACGCAGTGAGTACAGTGAGTACAATATCACCATAGGGCTTCTTCTACTAAGCACCTCTAGAACAAAGGAGCTCCAGGGCCCAAAGCAGGGCCCATGAAATTGCCCATCCAAGCACATACCGGTAGGTGCTCAACCCTACATCATACATGACTGTGTGCACTTGAAGTTACTTGCAACTCTCTCTCTGCCCTGCTAGGAAGTGCTATTTCCTGACAAGCCACAGCTACTTGTACTAACGGTACAAACAGTACATTGTACAGGCTGCACATCTATTGGTATTCAGGCTATGGACTTGTTTGGGCATGCTTGCCACTAGCCTAGGTATGGCTGTACGTGGGAGCCAAAATCGCAAGTGGACCGACACTGTACATATGGCAAGCTGCGTTCCTTTCAGAGGGAGGGTGAGTACGAAATGAACCTTTCAGGGCTGACAGAAAACTTTTGCGAGGACCCCTTAGGATATCCTCGCATTCCACACAATACTAGTTTGTGTAGAGAGAACTACACGATGTATCCAGGGCTGTCAACTCTTCAGATCCATAAAGTAGCCATTCAAGAATTTAGAATCAAAGCACCCTCTGTGCTGAAACTAAATATTCTACATTTCGGGTTAAGTTTGCACCAAAGTCAAGTCCACTTGGAACTAACAAGCCACAAGTGCTAGTTACACTAAAACAACGTTACTGGTGTAAGCAAGTATGTATGAGCTATTTGTAAAGTGGGGTACTACAGTGTTGGGTGTTTTCGATCAGGTTCCACTGTTTTCATCTTTTCGTGGGTTGGCAAGTGACTTCTAATAATAGCCGTTTCAGTGGCATGGTACAATTTATATCGTTTCTTTTCACTACTGGATTTTGGTAATTATTTTACCCCGCTTGGTTTTGGCATTCTGTATCACAATTTACGGTTTTCCCAAATGCAGGTACTTACAACAATAATGCTATGTGAAATCCAACCTCGAGAATATTACAGTTCCTGGCACTGCACAACCTAGGCACTAGGAACAGTGGACTGTGCGGAAAACCGCGCCTCCGCTATACATGGGGTTGGATTTCACTCACCACCACCGACTGTAATATCATCACCCACTGCCACTGCAGTGAAACTATTGCTCGTCAGGGCGACCACTCTCATAAGGTGACCAAATGTCCCAGTGAACCATCACAGCTAGGTCCAAGTGGTGGTATTTCTGGCTGAATTACGGGTGTTAAAAGTGCGGCTTATGCTCCTGAAAACAACAATACCTACCTGCCCCCCCCCCCCCCCCCCACCACCACGGAATATAAAGTACAGTACCTAGCTCTTCCCTCCCCACACACACTACCCCCCCCCCCCCCACACACACACTACCCCCCCCCCCCCCCACACACACACTACCCCCCCCCCCCCCCCACACACACACTACCCCCCCCCCCCCCCACACACACACACTACCCCCCCCCCCCCCCCACACACACACTACCCCCCCCCCCCCCCCCCCCACACACACACACACCACCATGGAACATGAAGTACAGTACATTACCTAGCTGCTCCCCCCCCCCCCCCCCCCCCCCCAGGCACGTGTGAGAATACAGTCTGTATAGTCATCAGAGCCATCATACCATGTCCTCATCGGGTGAGTCAGGGTTGCCTCCCTTCGCTTCCTTCTTGTTGATAGTCTGCAGGGAAAAGGAGAGGATTAAAAAAAGGGAGGGTCAAAAAGACACAGTGATGGCCTGGCACGAGCGAAACTTCTCTAAACTGGTGGTGTTTCTCAACACAATCGTAAGCCGGTGGTTACGCGGATGTGCGACCCGTACTTTTAAGAGAAGGTCAGAGAGAAGAAGAAATGAGCGCCCAACAGGCATGCCATGCAGTACACGGAAAAAAGCTGACCCGGAAAATCGGACGTGATATTGAAAATTTGAAATACAGTGGAACCTTTACAAGACGTACCCCCAACGGGGAACAATAGGTGTTCTTAGTGCACGATGCATTTCTCATCCAAACAACCTCTATTATCGGGCACTACACCTATACCCCCCCCCCCACACACACACACACGGTCCGTACAAACCAAGGGTTTGTCTTATCAGAGGACATACTGGGCGAGTTGCACTGCAGGGGCGTCAGAACCGGTACGGCAGGTCTCGCCAAAGCCGCACCAATAATTTCATCTTGTGATTTTGAAGCAATGAAATATGGGCTATTTGGGCCAAATTTTCCCGAGGGGGGGGGGGGGACCCCCACCTACTCACCAATGTCGAATACCGTCTGACACCCCTGCACTGTACAGTCACAACCTGATAGGACGTACTCAAAAGGGAATGCGGAAAGAGTACTTCCTAGCCAAAGTACGTACTACACCCGCACTGCAATCAAGTGTGCCGATTTCTCGTCAACTGTAAAAAAAAGTACGCACTACACAATCGTAGGTCTTGCATCCCCTCCCCCCCCCCCCCCCCCCCCCCGCCCCCTGTACATACTAAGCTGTTTTCCGCCAAAAGTGCCGGTTATAAGGACTTGCTTACTACCTTGCTAATCACCATTGTATTCGACCTGAAGAGTAATGGAATGAAAGGCCTAGTCGAAAAAATCATATGGCTCCTGTGCTTCGTGTGCTTATAAGCTGTTTTCACTGTACACACCACTCAGAAGACAGCTGTGAAAGCTATGAAAGCACTACCGACAACTTCATGCCAATACATGAATGAGTACTCGTCTGATTATTGCAATGGCATGAAACTTTGAGTTACGACGAGTCCGGACTGGCCCTCGTTCTCTTTCTCGTTTGAAACGCTCTACACTTTGCCGGCAGTTTGCCGAAATGTACCCCTTTGTGAATGAGCACTCTGTCAACTCACGTCGATGATGTCGGAGTTAGTGCGACTCTCGTGCGGCTCACTGTACTCTGTGTAGCGTAGGAGTATCCTGTCCATGTCGGTACTGGCGTACTGGAAGAGCTTGCTGTTGCTGTTGAAGATGATGAGCGCGATCTCGCAATCGCACAGCACACTCAGCTCGTACGCCTTCTTCATCAGGCCAAACTTGCGCTTGGTGAATGTCACCTGCAAACACACGACAACCAGTGCATAGCGGAGACACAGACCATGAGAAAGGGAACGCACAGCTATCCTAAACATCAACATATCCACAGACACAGTGTGCCTTGACATGCTAGGATGCGCAATGCCTGTCATGGGCAGAGCACACTACACAGGATGTACACAAAGGAAAGGAATTTGCTATCGCGATCCACACGTTTAGTATCACCCACACCTTGAGACACGCTCCAGGAAAGACTACGAGTAAAAGAAAGTAAATTAAAAGCCATTTCTTCTTTTAAAAGTGACGCCCGCACACAGGGCTTGCCTAAAGTGGATATCCGTAGCATCTCGGATCAAATAATGCTCGAACCGCCGAAGGTATATTTTATTCCTGTGCCAGTGTATTTATAATGCGTCTCTAACGGAAAATACGGTAGAATCACGAGTATACACCCATGCTTGCGTATACACCCATGCTTGCGTATACACCCATGCTTGCGTATACTAGTATAGGCTCAGGTTAGTTGCACACACAACAAGCTAAAATAGAACCTGGTTTAAGCGACCACCCCACGATGCAAGGAAAAGCGGTCGTCAAAGCCAGGTGGTCTTTAGAACCAGGTCCCACAGCGTCTTTATAGAATTGTCCGTGCATGGAAAAACGGTCGTTAAGAGCAGGTGGTCGCAAATACTACCACTTCCCCCCCCCCCCCCTCCCCATACCACACATAGACACACACGCACCCCCCCCCCCCCCACACACACACGCGCATTTGGGCAATCTCAACTGTCACTGTGCCTATGCAACTCCACAATGATTCAGGTGGGTGCCCACGCACACACCACTTCACACCCCCTCACTTCAATCTGCTCACAGATGGACATATCCTATTCCAGAACTTCCCAGAGGCTATTTCGGCCAGCAGACAACACAATGCAGAAGAAAACCAGTTCTGATTCAGTGAAACACTAGCCTCATTAATGCACAGAAGCAGGAACTCTGCAGGCTAAGATAACAACAAACTCAAATGCCCAGCAAGGTAATGTGCTGCCACTCTGTTTTAGAGGAAAATTGGCATCAGATTACCATGCTCCTATATTTGGATACCATGTGTAGCTCTATAATATAAAAAAAGGTTATGGTCAAAGGTAGCCCATTGTCGTGCCTCAGTGGTCGGCTGTTAGGAGGGGTGTGTGTGTGGGCGTGTGACCTCTTTTCTCTATGAGCTCAATATGTTGAGGTTTGCACTCATCTCTCTGTTATACCCCATCAAACGTCGCTTTGCCGTCGTATGAATACACTTGCTATGCAGATACAGGATTAGCCCAAGGGGGGGGGGGGGACCCTTCCCCCCCCCCCCCCCACACACACTACTCTGATAGCGCACCACATACTCATATCGACATGTGCTGTTAGCAGAGGGGGGAGTGTTGCACTGCTTGATGTTGATCTTGAGGGCATTTAAAAAAGAGCGCAACCTATTACAGTACTGTTAGTCACCGAAGAACTAAGGGGGGGGGGGGGGGAGTCAGCCTCCTAGCCTAGACCGTTCTTATTTTCATGTGTTACAGGCTGTGTATAGTAGAGTCACCGTCTATACATCATTGGCATGTTGTGCATGGTGTACTTCTAGCCTGGTCTAGCCTGGTCTAGCCTGGTCGTTCTTTGGTGCTCCGTTCTCGACAGTACTGTGCTCAAATGCAGTAATACTGCTCAGTCAACACCCTATAAATTCACTGGGAATCGCCAAGCGCAGGACCGCATGGTGAGGTTTTCTATCGGCCCCGTGTCTTAGCAAGGCCGTAACGCACCGGAAATGTGGATGTGTGGCATCGAATGTTGTTGCTTGGTAACCGAGGGCCAATCAACCTGCGTCACAGTGTACGCCGGGTGAGAAATCATGTCCATCCAGATGCCCGTATCTTTGTAATTGTCTTTCCAAACTTTGATATATTTACTCTCATCGAGGAGAAATACAGTCACGTCAGCATTTCATTGTTGGTACACAGCTTCCAATCTGTTTCTTTTCGGAGAAAAAACTTCATTCACACCGACATGGCTGGCTGCATGAGTCCGCTTGTGTGCAGACAAGCGCCCACTGAAGCACAGCTGCGCAGTCACGGAAAGCTGGGGCCATGCCAACACAGCTGCACGACACACACACACACGCACACACACACACACACACACACACACACACACACACACACACACACACACACTCTCTCTCTCTCTCTCTCTCTCTCTCTCTCTCTCTCTCTCTCTCTTTCTCTCACGCACTCACACTCTTCACATCTACATGTCCAGACAGTTTTCTATCATTCATTGTTCCAGGGTCTGAGCTCAGCTTCAGCACATGGCTGCCAACACCTGCCCTTATTTCCTTCCACTGCGCTCAATTCATGGTCAAAACAAGGCTGCTGCTGCTGCTTCCTGCAGCTAAGTTCAAAACAAATGAGACTCGGAGACATTGCTGTCTACAACACCAAACAGAGCGCCACTACGAACAACTGCTGCCGCAGTGCTACCGCTGCAACTAGTACTGCAGCACTAGCACAGCATGTACCTGACGTACGCCCTTCTGCTACTGCTAATGATGCTAGACTCAAACAGAGATACATGTCGTTGTTGGCTTTGTATTGTCCTTCTAATTCTAGATCACTAAACGCAATCTAATTCTAAAGGCAGCGCTGAGTAGCACCACAGCAACCAACAACGACCCAACACAGTCAGTAGTACACATAGCGACATCACCATAGTCCAGAACAGAAACGGTATGGCCATGCAAGCAAAAGACAAGGCCTAAACTCTGCCGCGCCATTCTGCTATAGTTTCTCGTCGTCCTATATTTGCCTGGTGAAAAGCATTTCTGGAATTCTACAATGGCTAAAAAAGCATTTCTGGAATTCCACGATGGCTAAACGCGATGGAGTTCAGCCATCAGGACAAAGCAACAGCCCTCGCACAACACAAGCCCACAACAGAGCATGTTTGTGCCAGAGGCAGAGGTCATCACTCCGCACACTGATTTCCTCCAATCGCACCCGGGCACCGCCGCCATCGAACGATCTCTATTCAGCGTCCTAACGATCGCTAGCTAGTGATTCTCGGTGACACTTCGTTGCTCAGATTACCAAACAAAGAATCGCTCTCAGCGTGCTAATGCAGACAGGAACTGATCCATTCGAGAGTCACCCTCCGACCGTAGCTAGAAACAAACGATACACACACAGCACGTGTAGCTCGAGCGCTCAACATTCCAAACATTCGGTGCAGGTAACAACCAAACACGACGTGCTGGGAATCGTCAATCCGAAAGGACCGCTAGCGTTTCCCTCTGTTGTGACTTGTTGGTCAACGAGACACCTACGCGGAGACGGAGATGCCGGTGTGTTGGATCACTGGCACTGCCTTGCAACGCGAAGCGCCGACAAACGAGACAGGACACGTAGACCCACACAGTATACACTCGACAGAAGCCACACTCGTTCGGCAAGCGCGAAGAACAACAATACGCTGCACCAGACGAACTCAAAAATGTCGGCGCACAGATATTCGTTCCGCTAGCGATTGCTGTTGTGCGCTAAGGGCTCCAGTGAAGTGCGCAAACTGTAAAGCCGACATAGGAATACCGTTCACCAGAGCGAAACAAAGAAAAATGGTGTTCGCATCTTCGCCAAAAATGCAGCGATCGATTAGTAGTACTAGTACATGATTGCATATCCAAGCTTACAGCCTCGACGGTACGGGTTGCAGGAGCGAAGCACCTAAAATAAAACGTCTAACGGCTTGTCAGATGCAGAAGAAGCACTTCCTTGCTACCCAAAATACCACGCAGAACCAAGTGGGCAAACGCTAAGAATAGAAGCAGCGTGCGACACCGCACAAACGGACACATACATACTGAGTCTGTACTGGTGGTGCGGACTACACCACGCACTGCGCACAGAATCCGATTCCATCTGATCGACGGTAGTGTCTGGTTGGTGGTTAGCGGGACAACTAACAAAAACCTCTAGATGCGATCAGCAAACGCACACATAAGCACATGCACGCGCTCTCTTGCAGTGAAACACGAATCCGCGCGCCCAGCTCAGCAGTAGCAGCAGCAGCATTGCGGCCATCACAAGAAACAAATATCTAACCTGGCGATTGCGCTCGTCGCCTATGCGCTGTATCGTGATTTTCTTTCTTCCCATCTCAGCTGCGCTTGGCTTGGGCTTCGACTTGGGACGGGTGGCCAGTTCGACGGCAGGGCAGAACAACGACAGCAAGTTAGGCGGATGAATTGCGACGCGACGTACACGCACACGCACACACTGTACATGTAGCCACAGAAGATTCAGGGACCAACGCTGGCGAAGTCTGCACAGTAGAAGCACGCAACACACACACACACACATACACACAAAAGTGATCATCCCAACATCGCCAGAGTGGCGAGAGGACAAGAGAGCCAAGCACAAACAGACAACTGAAGACAAAGGTGGATCTCATGCACTGCAGCTTTACAAGGCTCATCACAGCGCACCGCATCAATCGCAAAACATAATAAAACATCGATAGCGGATTGAAACGCTCACCTTCCTCCGAACTCGGGACAGGCTATTTCTGGCCTGGCAATGGCATACCTACAAGAACTTCTGAGTTTATTTTTGTTTCTTCCCTTACTATCTGTCCGCAGTACTCAGGTACTTCTGTACAGTCATCAGCCGAGTTCAGACCGTGCGCCGTGTAGGCCAGACGGCCCAGAGCTCAGAAGTACTCGTGCCTGACGTGTTGCACGCACGGGCTAGGCTATGCCCACCGCATGCAGTACCCATGGTAGATCTACCTGTGTGGTTGGTGCTAAACTCTGCATCTGACACTCAACAACACAGTGCGCTAGTGCAGGTAAGTGCATGCACGCGCCAGTCTGATCTGTGCTGTATTTTTGGTCATGTACGCCTTGCCATAGCATGAATGGATATTGGATGTGCCATGCGCAGATCAGCCGAAGTCAGAGAGGCTGCAGATCGTCAGTGAGCAGGTGAGTGCACGCTGATCCTGTCTGAGTCTCTGGCCATGCAGCTATCCACACCTACCTGCCAGTAGGCTACCTACGCATACGCCGTCTACATGGTCTACGTGACTTGTCAGCTAGTATTTTATAGCCCATCACTAGCAGTGCAGTAGCACAGTGCACTACTAGTGGCAGCTGCATGCTCCGTGTGCTGGCAGAGGTGGTCAAGGACTTAGGTAGGCCGGCGAGGAGTTCTTATCTTGACACGCTCCGATGGCTATTTACGGCAGCTTGTCAAACTTGAGTGGACCAAAATTGCTCTGCATGCCAGTTACTGTTGATAAAAGATGCAACGCTGGTCAGCAATATTAAAAATGACACTTCGTTCAGTGCCTTCTCACCTTTGGTTAAATAATAATAATTATTATTGGTGTTGGGTAGCTGTATGCATATATGCCCTAGGCGGTTAAACCGGCAGATTTGGGTACTTTTTTTCTAGTGTGTTTCATGCATGTTTGGTATGTGGATAAAGCAAATGGAGCAAGGAAGTGCCTGCCAGTGCCATAATGTTTGTACTCTCTCTCTCTCTCTCCTCTCTCTCTCCTCTCTCTCCTCTCTCTCCTCTCTCTCCTCTCTCTCCTCTCTCTCCTCTCTCTCTCTCTCTCTCTCTCTCTCTCTCTCTCTCTCTCTCTCTCTCCTCTCTCTCTCTCTCTCTCTCTCTCTCTCTCTCTCTCTCTCTCTCTCTCTCTCTCTCTCTCTCTCTCTCTCTCTCTCCCCCCATTGTAATACTGCAGTCAGTATGTCAGCGTATGATGAGATATTGTGCTAGAAGTAGAAGTGCTGAGTCTGTAGACATGGTAGAAGTGGTCGCCTACGAGTCCGACGTCCCACTCCGAAGGACATTACTATCTGGTCATTAGGTGTGTGTCTATCGAACGCCAGGACGGTTACGCACATGTACAGTTATGTACACGACTTGTACATGTCTCGATATACCTGCACAATCATGTACATGATGATGATTGTAGATGTAACTATGATGTCACCATGGTCACGTGTGGTGTAGACTCTCTATAGATTAGAGTGGCTAGATATGGGGGCAATGATTGTCAATCATCATGACTGATTGGAGTCTACTCGGTCTGTAGTGTAGAGTCTACAGACGTACAGTGCAATGAGACTCTGTCGCTGCACGCTGTACCCATACTAGTATGTACATGTATCTATTACTAGCAGCACCCCCGCCAGCGTTGCCTGGCCGAATGTGGCATGCGCGCGGGTGAAGCAATTCGCGCAAGTACATGAACAGCACACGTGCTCAGCACGTGGTGGTGGCCAGACCGCTGAAGTCCTGGTACATGAGGGAGGTTCTTCATCGTTGGAAGGAGAAGGAGGGACGTCTGTTACGCCTTAGGGAGGCTGGTCAGGGTTGTCCATCACCTGGGTGGCGGATGAAGCGGCTCAAAAAATTCATAAACTTACGAACAAAAGTGCGATGCGCTCTTCACTGCAGATCAGATGCAGAGTGCAGTCAGTGCAGATCTTTTGTATCCTTTTGTTGCAGATATTTCTATTTGCAGAGAACGGTTCACGTGGTCCGCAGCGCTTGTGCGGCTGCTAGTGCTACCTATGGCCTAGGCTAGGTGGCTACATGATTCGCACGCTTCGCGTGCTCAGTGCTTCTGCGCGCGGCTGCTACTGCTACTCGTACTGATCGTGTCTGCTATAAATATAAGCGCTACCACCGTACCTACACTGTTCGCACGCTTCGCGTGCTCAGCTCGTGGTGGTGGCTACACGATTCGAACGCTTCGCGTGCTCAGTGCTTCTGTGGCTGCTTCCGCTAGCTACACGATTCGCACGCTTCGCGTGCTCAGTGCTTCTGCGGCCGCTAGCTACACTGTTCGCACGCTTCGCGTGCTCAGGGCAGCGCTGCTCCGCAGCGCTTCAGCGTGACACAAAAACACACGTCACAGGTGCCTCTTCTTTATAAGGAGCGTGACACACACACACACACACACAGACACACGTCACAGGTGCCTCTCTTTTATAAGTAAAGATTGTGATAAAGGGCCGGCCATACATGTACATGTACATGACAATGTCATTGTCCTGCAAGTACAAGTAGTATCCACACTGAGTTCCCTACTCCTTTGTTGTCTTTGTATTTTGCCTTTGTCTCTGTCATTACCCCTTTTGCTTTGTCGGGATGTGCACATAAAAGAAAAGAGAGAAAAAAGAGTAGAGACGTCGTAGAGCGAGACTGCGCACGATCCTAGGCAGGAAGGAAGCGGCTCATGCTGTCGCAGACGTGGTGCAAGTGGACTACATGTACGTATGCAGTGCATGCAGTGGTCTAGTGTGAATGCATGAGCCCGGGGACACGTGACATGTAACGACGTACCGGTATCGGCATGCATTACAGAGTTGCACACACCAAGACCTAGTGGATAGTGCATGAGCTGAGTCTGAGTGCAACCGCCGACGCGTGGCGTCATCGTCGGGACAGCATGAATGTCATTGCAGGATGTTAGTACAGCGCAGGTAATCCCCGCCTCGTTACGATTAACAATAATGTCATTATTATATCAGTAGAATGGAAAAGTACTCTCCAATCCACTGCTTTGAATGCCTTTGATTGGCCCCAATTGAACCACGCACAGCCATAGTACGATAGGCCTTCGTGGATAATACCGCAGAACAATGAACAGAATCTGGTACCTTTCCCGAAGCCTCAGAGTCAGTACTCTGCCCTCCTGAAGTGACGTCTTGAGCAATGGAACAAAGGCGAAATCGACCAGTTGTGCCATTAGGGACGCACAATTCAGATCCAACTGTGTAAGCGCTCGCAAGACTACAGCCAAATGCAGATAAAGACCGGAGATCGGGCCAGGACCTTTGCTTCCCGGGTCACTGGAGGCAAGATCACATCGCCACTCAGTCTTCTCGACGAATCCACCTCGGCTGGATTGCTAGACCTAGATGACCTGGCGGACGAGGCTACAGGCATCACTGTACGATAGGCTCTGAAGTCAAATCACCCGGACAGCGCCCCTCTGTGTCCGGACGCACTGATACAGGAGAATCCACCCCCACTGCCACACCCCCGGCCCGTGATGTTTGAGGCGCTGACTCGCGATGTCATCAGGAGGGCCGCTCTCAATACCCACGGTGCCGCAGGCCCATCTGGAGTCAATGCGGAAACGTGGAGGTGGATGTGCACCATGTTTTCGGATGCTTCTGATGATCTATGCGATGCTCTTGCCTTATGTGCTCGGCGTCTGGCCACGGAGTTCGTTGACCCACAATACATTGGTGCTTACCTGGCCTCTAGACTGGTTCCCCTGGATAAACGCCGTGGTGTTCGTGGCATTGGCGAGGTTCTGCGCCGCATAATCGGAAAGTCCATCCATCCTCTCCGTCATTGGTCGGGACATCCAGTCGGCAGCAGGAAGCTTGCAGCTATGTGCAGGTCAGGACTGTGGCATCGAAGCCGCAGTCCACGCAATGACCGACATCTTTAACTCCCCTGACACTGATGGTGTTCTGATGGCAGTGATGCGGCTAACGCATTCGACAACCTGAACCGCAGCGTATACCTCCGTAACGTTCGCCATCTGTGCCCTGCGCTGGCAACGGTGGCCATCAACTCGTACCGAAGCCCGAGTCGCCTATTTGTTGGCGGTGAAAGCATTTCCTCCAGCGAGGGCACAACACAAGGGGATCCACTGGCAATGCCTCTCTACGCCATCGGCATTCTCCCTCTCATTCAGGCAACCGACACGGATGGTGCCAGGCAGCTGTGGTACGCAGATGATTCTTCTGCTGGCGGTAGGCGCCGCCGCCTCCGCACGTGGTGGGATTCCCTCATATCCCGCGGCCCAGGCTTCGGGTACCACCTTAACGCGGCAAAATCCGTACTGGTCGTGAAACTGGACTGCCTGGAAGAAGCCAAGAGGATCTTCGCTGATACTGGCATCCATGTAACTGCTGAGGGGCATCGGTATCTCGGTGCAGTGATAGGCACTGTGACTCCTGCCTTTATTCAGGATTACCTTCAGAAGAAGGCAGATGCATGGTGCAAGGAGATCGACGTGCTGTCCTCCTTTGCCCTATCTCAACCACAAGCAGCATATGCACTTACGTCCACCTGCTGGCGAGGCCACGTCGCGTGAAGGCTGCACCTTCACGCGTGGCCTCGCCAGCAAGTGGACGTTCCTCTGCCGAGTTCAGAAGGAGGCTCCGGAAGCCATGGCACCCGTCGAGCATATCATCTACACCAAACTTCTACTTGACGGGACAGCCTATTGACTCCGCTCTCAGACATCTCTTCTCTCTCCCCTGCCATGAAGGCGGGCTCGGTGTGCTTGACCCGACCACACTGGGGACACAGTACTGTTCCTCTCGATCCGTCACCTCGTCGCTCGTTGAGAACATCGTCGCCCAGTGCCCACAGCTTGGTGATGCGCTAGCCACCGTCAGCCACATAAAGACCAGGGTACGCAATGAAGCCCGCC